CCCCTTCTCCCTCCCTCCCCACCCACCCTCCCACACCCCTCCCCTTTGGTAACCACTAGTCCCTTCTTGGAGTCTGTGAGTCTGCTGCTGTTTTGTTCCTTCAGTCCACAAAAAACTTTTATGGGCATGTAGGTGAACACGTACAGACACAGTATTCCTTTGCGGGCCAGAAGCCCAAAATTCATCTTTCAGGACCTCACTCAGAAGAGATTTGCCTTTATTTGTAGCTTGAGCAAACATGGTTTTCTGACTTCCAAAATCACAGCAACAAATTAGGCAAGGAGAGACCAGTATGTTGCAGTCCCAGAGAAACAGAAGCCAGTGGGATTTATGAACATTCACTAAGCATCTTCTATGTACCAAGCAGAGCAAAGGACTGAAAAATACAGTTACTAAAGACCAGTTGATATGAAGACAAATCATTTCACACACACGTGTGGGTGTGGCACCACCAACATAATATTGGTTTTATCTTTTTTATTTATTTTACTTTTTAAGTCAACTTTTCTGAAGTCTAATTATATACCATAAATTCACACACCTGTAAGTTTTGTCTAATGTGTGCAACTGTGTATCCACCACAACAATCAAGATATAGAGCATTTCCAGAAAGTTCCCTCCTATTACTTTGTAATAAATCTCTCCCACTTTCCCTAGCAATCACTGATATTCTTTCTGTTACTGTAGATTAGATTTGTTTTTCAAGACTCTCATATAAATAGAATCAATAATGTGTGCTCTTTCATGTCTGACTCCTTTTGCTTAAGAAATTGCTTTGAGATTCACCCATATAGTTCCATATATCAGTACCTGTTCCTTTTCATTGCTTAGTAATACTCCATTGTACCCCCACTTACTTATCCATTCTCCTGTGAATGGACACTGAGGTTTTTCCAGTATGTGTCCATTATGGAGAATTCTGCCATGTATAAATCTCTCTGTGGACATCTGTTTTCATTTATCTTGAGCAAATACCTAGAAGTAGAATAGCTAGGTTAGAGAATATACTTTTTGCGGTAAAAATGTTGGTTTTTATTCATCAAGAGTAAAAGAAATTTCACTGGATGGATTTTGGTTGATGAGTCCAGGCAGTGCCTCATTTTATTTCAAAAATTTGGGGGGGGGGTAATATTTCATTTTGTTTTCTTTGGGTTTGTAGTATTTTTGTTTAAAGATTCAGTTCTTAGGTATCTGGAAAATTAGACTGGCCATATGGCCATTCCCTGAGGACTTCAGTTAATTAAGGTTTTGTTTTTTTTAGGAGTGAGTGAGTGTGACAGAGAGGGAAAGAGCAGAGGGTGAGAGGGAGGGAGAGAAAACAATACAACCCAACGGAGACCTCATTCCAGTGTCACCTTGTCTATTGCAAATGAAAAGGGACACCCTGAGAGGCATCCAGGAGGAAGCTGACGTTGTGTGCCCCTGACCTGCTGTCTTGTCCCTGCAGCCCCGGGCCTGCGCCTGGCAGGTGGGCGCAGCCGCTGCGAGGGCCGCGTGGAGGTCCTGCACCAGGGCGTGTGGGGCACCGTGTGCGACGACCACTGGAACATCCGCAACGCACGCGTCGTGTGCCGCCTCCTGGGCTGCGGTCGCGCGCTCAGCGCCCCGGGGCGCTGCCCCTTCGGCCCAGGCTCAGGGCCCATCCTGCTGGACGACGTGCGCTGCGCTGGCACCGAGGACGCGCTGGGGAGCTGCGCCCATGCTGGCTGGGGTCGCCACAACTGCCGACACCGCGAGGACGCGGGCGTGCTGTGCGCAGGTGCCCTGGGGTGTCCCCGAGGCTCCGACCCCTTATTTTCCTCCAGGAGTCCCGTGTCCACAAGGTCCAAATTCACACCGCAGCAAAGCTCAGGTCGGCCAAGGTGCCGGATTCTAGGATAACAGGGACATATTTGTTATAGAACCATTGTAGATATTTTATTAACCAGTTTTGTCTATTTCCAATTCAGTGCAATATTTGTTCTGAAATATAGCTAAAAGATGACGAAATCAAAGAAGAACTGACAGTGTCATAAAACGCTTAAGGCCATAGAACTTATTGCTAGCAGTCAGACTACAAATTGCAGGAAGGGCTGCCTGTCAGAGTTCATACGTGTGACAGTGTTTATCACCTGCAAAGACCTGTGTTTACTGTTCTCTTGCCCCAACAAATCCGGGCGTTGATGACACCTGTGTTCTCAGCAGGACTTCGCATATGTCAGAATCTCTCCCTCCAGCTCCAGCAGGAGGGCCCAGGACCTCCTTTCCTTCCCCCTGCCCAGGAGTGTTTTCCCACCATTGTGCTCCAGCTGTAATCCTGCTCGAGCGCTGCCTCCTGCTGGCGACAGCGCCCTCTTCTGGTGCTTCTGCGCAGCTGACCTTTGCTTTTCCTCTTCTGCCCTCACCAGGTCCGGCTGACTCTGTGGTACCCAAGGGCAATGGTAACGTCCTCTTCTCTTTACGTGGTGGACAGGGAAGAGCTGGGAGAGCGGTTGTCCAGAGTGAACATGAACTGGCTGGGAGGGGGACCAGCTTCTGTGTCTGCACTGAGATTTCCTGTACTTCCAGGCATCCCCTGGGCTTTAGGAGGCTGGGGAGGAAGCCCCTTTACACCCACACTCCTCCCTCTTTGCTTCTAGTCTCTTCCTCCATCCTACTTCTCACCCAAAGCTCCGGACAGACAGGTGCTCAGGCTCAGATGCTCCAACACGGGAAACAAGAGCTCATTTCAATCCTTAGATGAAGCTTTGACTCGCAGCCCAGGGCATGTGTGCTGTGGGAAGGATTCCCCAGGGATAGGGTGTGACTTTTGGAAAAGGGGAGCTATAAATAAAATTAGTGAAAGTCAAGGGTGGGGATGATGAGAACTATGCACTGTCCACAATACTTTACTAGAGTGAGCACACACCCACAGCCCAACAGGCCCATCCAGGGTACCGGGTCCTCATTCTCTCCCTTCCCCTTCCTCCCCAGCCCAGCTCTCCTGCTTGCCTCACCTCTTCCAAGTCACCATTGACCGAGGCTATCTCCGGAGGCTGGGCTACTCCTCCTGGGACATCCACTTAAATGATGAGCTGTGTCGCCCCCAAGTTAGGGGGCGATACCTGATCTTCAGCATTCCCTATGGCCGCTGTGGAACCGTCAGACAGGTGAGAAGCTGGCAAGGTGGTGGTACCCTGCTGTGGATGGAGGCCAAGGAGAGGGCTTTGGAAAATCCAACAACCTGTTAAAAACCTGATCAGAGGAAAGGCACAAGCCATGACTTCGTTTCTGAAGTTGGTGAGACCTGGAGCAGCTCACTGATCTGTGCGAAATTTTCCTTCCTTTTGAGAATTTGGGATACATGGTGACAAGGGCTCAGTACTGATAGAGTGATGGATGGGTGCATGGATGGGTGGAAGGACAGGTGGGTGGATGGATGGATGAAAGGATGGGTGGATGAAAAAATGGGTGGATGGGTGGGTGGATGGGTGGATGGGTGGATGGGTTGGTGGATGGATGGATGAAAGGATGGGTGGACGGGTGGATGGATGGACACTCTTCTCTTAGCTCCAAAGCCAAAATTCAGCCTTAGTGCACCCCTATCATATGCAGGCTACATGGGGGAATACAGATGATCTGTTTCTCTGTCTGACTGCAGTGTTTCCAACCAGGTAGCTGAGCTCTATTTCCCCATTTAGAAACCAGATATCTAGGACATTTATGTATACTTAGATTCATACGTTTATTTCATGTTCTTTAACCACCTGTTTCACAAAATAACCTCACTGAAGTTAGGGAAACAAGTTTACCAAAGAGATGAGAGAAGTGCGTAACCACAAAATCACTTTTCTCAGTACATTTAACCATATAACCTGTTCCAAAGCATGATCCCCCTCCTTCTCCTCTATTCTTTCACATCTGTTTAAACACACGCAGAAAACACTTGACATTGTTGGAGTCTGAGTTCATTCAAATGGTCTGCGTGATACCATGTGACCACATTAACACCATACTTCGGTTGTGCCGACCATGGTCATTCTTCTCCTTTTGGCTCTGGAAACTCTAGTTTTGACCTCAGAGGGGTGTGCACCCCAGAAGCCATGCTTCCAGCCCCTCTGTGTCTGGGAGGAGAGCCCCAGGGAGGGCCCGGCAGCTGACAGTGGCCCTGGCTGGCCCAGCGGCCCAGCCGGCCTCACGTGCTGATCATGGCACCGGGGACAGAGGACACAGCACATCAGGAGCCACCTGCAGTGAGCGCCAGTCCCAAGCCACCCACAGGGAAAGCACTGCCACAGAAAGGGCTTGTGTCTGGTTTAAGAGTCAGCAACTGAGAAACCTTGTAAGTGCTGAAGACACAGCAGCCAACCAGACAGACGGAGTCCTGCTCTGTGGTGCTTACACTCCAGAAAAGGGAGGGCAGCTAGGGCAGAGGCCCCGAGGCGGCAGCAGGCTTGGAGGGCTTAAGGAAGAGACCTGGGAGGCCCAGGGTCAGCTTGGAGGGGGCAGGGCCACGTGTCATGGAGTTGAGCTGCCCTTCTCTATTCTCAACAAGGGCACTGCCACCCTCCAGGGGAAGATATCGGCCCTTAGGGGCAAAAAAGGTTCTTCTTTATGGAAAAGGACATACACGGTATACATGTTGTATTAAAAGTTCATAATGGGGGCTGGGGAGGGGGCAGCATGAGTAGGAAAGAAAAATATCTAAAAAGGCCAACCAGCTAGAAAGCTGGTCTCAGGGTTCCAAGACAGAACATCACAGTGTCTGAGTCACATAAGCCGAGGCTTCCTTGGACAAATGTCCCTGGGCAGGCCGGGTCTCTGCATGATGCACAGGGCTGGGAGAGGAGGCAGCCAGAGGTGGTGGCATCCAGCTCACCAGCCATCAGCGCTCCCCACCTCCTTCAAGTCACGCTGCAGTTGAAGGAGCCAGGCAAGGCTGCAGGTCAGCAGGCCAGACCCACAGGGGCCACAGCTGGGCTGGGCACAGAAGGCAGGAAGAGGCGGGAGAAAGGATAAATGCTCCAGTGGGGGTGGTCTCTGCTTGCATGAGAACCCCAGGACTGAGAGAGTAGAATGAGGGGAGGAATTTGGCAGAGAGGAAGCCCCAGGCAGCTAGCATGGACCTGCCACCCCACTGCCCACCACCACAACTTGGCCCTCACAGCACACTGCGGGCCCCCTGCATGCACCCCAGACTCCAAGGAGAGGGACATAACGGCCCCCTGAGGTCAGGCCTGAGGCTTCCTGCCCTCCAGCTCATCAGCAAGCTGGAGCTGAGCAGGGAGAGCCTCTGCCCGTGAAGGAAGGTGCTTGTCAGGGAGAGGAGCGCGGGCCCCCAGCTCTCCCCTCCTCCCTCCTCCCAGGAAAGCATCAGCTCCCGCAGCTACTCCAACTCCATCAGCGGCCGCATTCAGGGCCACCCTGGCCGAGTCATCGTGCGGCACAAGGTGCCTCAGCTGAAGTTTACCTGCAGGGTGGACGGCTCATCAGCAGTTGAAATTGTTCCCGGGGCTGATGTCCCACGGGAGGGTACCAGCTATGATGTATCCATATCGTTCCTCGAGTCACCCGTGGCCCAGCATGTGGGACACAGGGGGCCACCCTATGCCAGTCAGAGGAAAGAGGTCTTCCTCCAGGCCACGCTCCACAGCACTGAGCCCAACCTGAGGCTAATTGTAGATACCTGTGTGGCTTCTCCAGATCCCCGTGATTTCACAACTGTCAAGTATGATTTGATCCAGCAAGGGTAAGGGAAATGGAAGGGTCTCTGGGATGGGCTTTTACATTCGGGTAGCATTCCTTTGGGGGACCTGTGGCAATCAGTAGTCCTCAAACAACATGGTGCAAAAGAGTCCTCATCGCGCCCCAGGGGCAGAGTAGGGGCCCCCACCTTCCTTCCTTGTGATCCCAGTAGGGGACAAATAGGAGGTTGACAACGACCCTTGAATCCCCGAGGAGTCCTGAGCAGAGCCCTTGCTGTCCCAGACTCCGCTGTCCCATCCCACCCTCTCATACACATACCTCCCTTCTTTTTAGGTTTTACTACTTTATGACATTTCCCATTCCTCAAGGCGTTTGGCCTACACTGATGGGCTGGTGGGTTACCACAGGCTAGGCTTTTATTGTGGTGAAATTTATTCTGGCTTGTTTTTTTAAACAAAGGATTTTCCAAGTTACAATTCTAGCCAGTTGTTCACTATAAAGTTCCCTTGTCCCCTGACAGGGGCAAAATACTTGTGGACGGACAACTGGCAACCAGGGTGATCCACAAAAACCCATCACTTCCTGATGGCAGCTGTAGAGTGCTGAGCCCCACAGCATCCTAAAGCCACAGGAAGCGTCATAGTGGGTTTATAGATTTCTCTTTGCAATTCTATCAGTTTCTGTTTTGTAGATATTTACACTCTGTTGTTAGGCGCATATACATTAAGGACTGTTATGCCTTTTTGGAGGATTGATCCCTTTATTATTAGGCAATACCTCTCTTCATCCCTGAAATGATCCTGGCTCTGAAGTCTGTTTTGTCTGAAATTAATATAGCCACTCCAGCTTTCTTTTGACTAGTATCGGCAATGGTAAATCTTTGTCCAGCCCTTTACTTTTAATTTATCTATGTGTTTATGTTTTAAGTGGGTTTCTTAGAGACAGTATGTAGTTGGGTCTTGGTTTGCTTGTTATTTTATCTACTCTGACAGTTTGTCTTTAATATATTTAGACCATCCACATTTAAAGTGATTACTGATATAGTTAGATTAAAATCTATCTTCTTGGCAGGTGTTTTCTATTTGTTACATTTGTTCTTCATTTCTCTCCCCACTGTCTTTTTACTGCCTTCTCTGGTTTTAATAGAGCCTTTTATATGCTGGTTTTAATTGAGCATTTTAGATTATTCTATATTATCTCCTGTCTCAAAGTACCATTTATACTTCCTTCCTTAACTTTTCCAGTGGTCGCACTAGGGTTAACAAAACACATCTTAAAATAATCTGAGTTCACCTTCAGGTAACACAGCCACCATCTTTAATCTCCCCTTCTGACAAAATAGAGGAGGCCTTCTGAAGCTCCAGCCAGAAATTAATTCCCGATTTTGTTTTTATTATGTCTATCTTACAGTTCCCTTCTATATCTGGCTAGGAATAGTGGTGTTTAGACTCATGGTAGTGTTAAAGAGTTCCTTTATAAAATAAAGAAACCAGGTAGTGGGAAGAACTCCATTTGGAATTCAGAGGTCTGGGTTATCTGAGTCCAGTGAATTCACGCCATGCTTTATTTAAGTTAATCCTTTGGGTTTGGGGTTTTTCTTCCCATCAGGTGCATCAAAGACAATACCTATGTCAACCTCCATTCCCACCAGAAGAACGTGGCCCAGTTCAAATTCAACGCCTTCAGCTTTCTCACCAGCTACGATGTTGTCTACCTGCAGTGTAAGGTCACCGTGTGCAAAGCGGGGGATCGTTCTTCCCGCTGCTCCCAGGGCTGTGCGGGGCGGAGCAAGAGGGGTGCAGGCCCCAGGGAGGCCGCAGGGGAGCAGGTGGAGCATTTCCAAATGGTGGGACCACTGGAAATCCACAGAGGAACTGGGCAGAGCAAGACCCTCGTGTGATTTATCCAGTTTTCACACGAATCTGTTAGAAATTAGAAATGAAATCTGTTTCTCTTCAGTAAAATAGTAAGTTTGACAAAACAGAGAATGTCCACATAGAGACAGGTAAAAGAAACAGCTAAAGATTGATAAATAATCTTCTCTGATCTCCAAACTTCTGAGGCAGTCACTCCCTTGGCAAGGTAGGAATGTTGCATTTTCTAATTCTTCACTGTCAAGAACTTGATCTTGTCTTAAACAGTACAGAATGCCATGACGAACAGTTACCTCTCTATACCGCATTGCCACCTTAAACATTTTTTTCAATTGACTCTTTGATATTCAGATGCTGTTAGCTGGGTCCTTTTGTTTCTGCGGTGTGAGAATTTACCTGCAGATCTTGCCAAGAGTCTTATAAAAAATAAACTGAGTATCTGTCAGGAAGCCACTGTTCTTTTTTTTCTTTCTAACTATAATAACTGGTCAGTTGAATTAAACAAGTCATTTACTCATGAACCCATCATCATTTGCTCAAAACAATCTTTGTCTGCTTCAAAGGGAACAAATTGGCCCCCAACTATGTTGGGCTTGGGTTACAGCTTTCAAATCAGAGTCTGAAACAATCACAAAAACCCCTCGTGACGGCGTTCTGAGCTCCCAGAAGCTCAGTCTGTTTCCCGGATCCTCAAAGTGTTACAGAAGACCTAGAAAGTGCACAGGAACCCTGAAAGCACAGAGAGAGATTAGCAGATCCCTTGCCCAGAAAAGGAGGGCAGCACCCCCTTTATCTAGTCTCTCTTTTCGTCTTAACAGGAAGAGGCTTGCTCTAGGCTCAGCCCTCCAAGTTGTCTTTAAAAAAACAGACTTGGATATAGTCAAGGGGTTTTTTTTTTGTCAAGAAATATTCAGTAGTAGTATTTAAAATGGGAGTCTTCAATTCCCAGAAAATTGTTCCCATCTTTGTCAGTAAATAGAGATAGGGATCACCTCGAAAGGGGATGTCTCATTACAAACACCCTTCATGGATAGCTGTCTTGGTAAATATATGAAACTGAAATTTATGTTTATGAAGCTCCCTCCTTACACACAGTACAAGTTGATGAAAATGTAACTACTGTCAATCTGTTGAAGACGGCATCTGTAACTCAAAAGTTAATTATTCATCAGCAAGTATCTTCATCTTCAGTCACATGAAGCAATGATTTTAGCATCTGGCACCTATTTCATAGAAGTGCTTCAAATGAATAAGGGAGTTTTTCCAAGGAACTATGAGCTGCTAGAATTTCTACTTTCAGAAGTTTATCAGCCCATTAACTGTACCTATCTATATCATGTCAAGTAGGAGGCTAACAGTTTCCAAAATCAAGCATTTTATGGCTCATAACAAATCCCTAGCATGAAAATCTTTGACAGTAATGAAATTTGAAGAGTAAACAAATAAAGAGTCCAGTGAACTTCCAGGTCGGGTTCTCCAGGTGTATGTAGTCCAGTGGATGGGAGCCGGCAAGCAGTCAGGGGATCCTTAGAAACGAGACAGTGTGAAAGTGGTGCCCGCCATTCAGCATCCCATGCCCCATGGGTCAGAATGCACTGAACAGGGTGAAGCCTGCAACCTGGAAACACCAGTGGGTACAGACAAAAAGCCTCAAGAAGAGCCAAGGGACCAGCAAGGGGCCAGTCAGGCAAGACAGAAAACTTTTAGTCAATACATGCCCTGCTCCAAATACCATGGGTAAAATTGGAGCCCCTCCCCCATCCTAGCCAGCAAAGATGAAATGGGGAGCCCGGATTTCTGCCTGGCCCCAGCATCCCTTCCCTCTCTCCTCCCCTCCCCTCCCTAGGGTGGTGTCAGAGAAGGCCAACTGGGGCACTGGGGCCTGCACCACCTCCTAGCAGTAACCAGGCCTCCCCTGCACCCCCTGTGTCAGGTAGAGACCAAATGGGGAGCCTGCCTGAACCTCCAGCCCCCCAAGCAGGTATGAGGCGCCCCTGTGAGTCTGCTCTGGGGTGGTGCCTGAGGAGGCCTAGAGAGAGCCAGGGCTTCCACCCCTGACCAGAAGCAGCAAGGTGGCTCTACCTGCCTGGGAGGAGGGGGCAGCAGAGGCCCTCTGGGGAGCCCGCCTTCCACCCTGCTCAGCACTGAGGAGGTGGTGCTCCCCGTCTCGTCTGTACCTGCTGGAATCCCGTGGCCTATCCTTTGCTGTCAGCCTTCTGGAAGCACTGCATCAAGCATGTCTCTTGAATACAGCATAGAGTCAGACTTGACTTAGTGAGACATTCTGAAAATTCTGCTCTTTTAAGAAATGAGTAGTGGCTGCTCTGCTGTGACACCCACACCTCCCTCAGATGAAGGCGCTCACTCCTCAAGCCGCCGTGAGTGCTGGCAGCTGACAGCTCTCAGCCCCACTGCTCTCCTGGAATTTCCCTCAGCTCAGGACAGCTGCCTTGTCCAAGTTCACAGCCTTCAACCAGTGACTGCCCAACAGAGGCCTGTAAGGGACGGGGCACCCAGCCTCGGTGGGCAGCAGCTCAGGGGCCAGCCCAGCCCAGGGCTCTCCAGGGATCGGCTGGGCCTTTTACTGCAGCTCTTCACCGTTCCCCACCCCCGGTCCAGTCCTGCTTCCCTCACCCTTACAGGGCTTAGTCCTGAGCGCACACCCCAGGCACCCTTCTGCACACAAACCTCTGTACCAGGGATTGTTTCCCAGGAACCCGACCCAGTCAGCACCAGGTGGGGCCTGAGAAGCTGATTCCAAAACGGGACTTGGGGGCTGGCCCAGGGGGACTCCTCCTCAGGGCAAGTGCACACAGTCAGCCCCTGACTGCATCTCATTCTCTGACCCTTGCAACACTCCCAGGGGGCGGCAGCTGTTACCATCCCTATTCCAAATTGCAGACACCAAGGATGAAGGTGACCTGGCCAAGGTAACCTAGCATCTGGGTGGCAGGAGCAAAACCCAGGCCACCAACTCCAGATTGGGGGCCTTTAATCACTTCACTATCGGTTTTCCAAAAGAAAAAAGGGTACTGATAGTCTATATTACTACATACTGACAATGCATTGATACAGCTCGTGAACAGATATTCTGTCAGTTCCTGGCGGAGGGATGGCGGATGGCCCAGTGCCCGGACAGTGTTAACTGCTGTTCCGAGGTGATCGATTTGATTTGCCCATTGTAATTAAGTTCTTGGGTGTTTTCGTGTTAGGTCAGGAAAGAACTTTGCAGTAGTTCCAGGTGAACACAGAGGGGGCGCAATGGCGTGCCTTTGGGGGCAGTGCTTGGAGACCTTTTTTGGAAATAGTAGAAAGAAAATGGGAGAGATCTGTTTTGATTTGAGCTGGAGATCATTCAGGCCCCTGAGGGCTTGCTCCCTGCAGATAGAGGTGCCATCGCATCCACTGCGCATCCCCCGGGGGTGAAGGAGGATGGCTTTGGGGGCTCATTCTGCCTGATGCACATTAGAAGTCGGAGCTGTGTGGTGTCTGGTGGCGAGGCAGAGCTGTATTCCTCTAAGATAAGGGATTAGATGTGACGTTTGGCACATGTAAAATTAGCTCCCACTGAGGTCTTTAATATTTGTTCAGCCACGTGGATAGGAAAGTGTAAGGCAGAACTGACCTTGTTAGGACTCCTTCTGTGGGTTTGGTGTGTGGTGTGAATGGAAGAGTAGTTGTTTCATCTCACTAACCCTGAAGCTACACAGAAGTCCTGCCTTTCATGGCCAGATTCTTTCTGAAGCCCTCTTCTGAGATGTTTAAGTGTGAAGTGCCGAGACTGCGTTAAAACGAAAAGGCACGTAAGCAGAGGAGATTGCAGTACTCCTTACCACACGTTAGTCTCAGGAATAAAAACTGTTGTGTTTATTTCAAAAGGTAACATATTTGCAACTAGAAAATAAATATATCTAAGGCTGAAGACTACTTTTTGGAAGTAAAAGTAACCTTTTACTTTTCACCTGATGTTTACTTAAAACGTTTTATGTTTATGAAAAAGGATGTTTTTAACTCATTTTATATTTTGGTGGCTTCAGTCCTTTAACATGACAGTAACTTATATAATGTCTGGTCATTTCATTTATACTACAAGGAAACACAGTGACCACGTTGACAGGAGGGTCTGTATATCAATTTTATGAGGCGCCCCTAATTTATTCATAATGCATATAGCCAGGAGATAGGGCTTCCTTGGCATTCAGGAGAAATGTCTCACTGTGGCTGAGCCCCTTCATTACAGGCCTTCAGCTTCTGGTATTTGTAGCCTGTTCGCTGACTTACAAAATGCCTCACTGTGACTATAGCCACAACCACAACATTCAGAACAAGGACCATGAATGAAAACAGATGCAAACTGTTGAAAGGTTGATTCTGAGTTTCTTCTCCATGTATTTGATCCTGGAATCCTGTAATTGGCAACAAGAGAAAAATCATTTAAGCATAAGTATTACTTGGCATTACAAAATTTTCATAAATTTATGTCTCTACATAGCCTATGTCTCTTACACATCAATTAATTATTATTCATAATGCCAACACAACAGGAACTATTATCAGATATTTGAATTAGCTTATGCTTATATTTAATTTCAAAGACAAGATGTCCTTATATTTATTTTTTTAATGGTTAACTTAGTTTGGTTCCCTGACACAAGGTGAAAAACTTGTGAAATTCAACAATAATAATCAAATGGAAATTTAGTTCCACTTATTAATGGCCACTATTTCACATTGTTATCAAAATATATTTGATTGAGAAACATTTTTTCTCTTGAAATAGGTAATGGATACTTTTCTAATATGTATGGTATTTCTATAATAACTTTCACTTACAAATTTTTGACTAATTTTAAATAATCCATAGATGTATCATCTTTTTAATGAATGCATCAATAAGACTACTGAATTTATATTTTATTTGTTTTTGTCATGGAAATATTTTGCTACAAACCAGACTCACACTCCTTCATAGTGCAGTTAATAATAAAGACACAGATCACAGGATTCTTTTATGCCAGGATCATTTTCACATAAGACAAATCCTATAAACAGTTTTCTTTAAGTATGACGTGGCCTAAGTCATTTAATTACGGATCATCTTTGAGTATTTACCACCACATCTTTCAAGCAATCTGACAGAGCTCAGGTTTTAAGCCTGTAAAAAGAAGCTGGACTGTCTTAAAGATAGATTTTATCTGTTTTTAAAAGAAATAGATTTTTTTTTTTCCAAATAGGTGATTGGATGGGATACTGGTTCTTCTTATTTTACTTGTTTGGAAGTTAAAATACATAACTTTTCAGTCAGTTACCTACCATGGTGTCAATAATAAGGAGTCAGGAATCTAAGGGAAACTGTCGTTTTGGAGGGAGAGGGTATTACATTTATCTTCAAAAGCCTTATGAATAGAGCTGAATTATCAGTGTGTAATATGCTTAAACTGTACGTGGCTTACAAATTATCAACTAATAGAAATATTAAATTAATCTTGTGTGTTTAAAACTGGTAACTTATATAGAGCTTTGCTGAAACGATCGTACATCTCTAAACTGTACATGCTTGAGAAGGATTACATTTGAGCAACATTTTATGAGTCGCGAGGTATTCTTAGATCATGAAATCCTGTTTTCTCACCCGAACTGCCACTTGCACTTCGGTCCCTTTTCAGACGGATGGGCCCTATGACAGAGTCAGTCTTCCATTTGTATGAGGAAATGTCTCGTTTCCCTCTGGAGACACAGCCGCGGCTGCAGCGGGACTGATGGTCGCCGCTATTACATATCAAAACCTTACACTGGAGATACACAGAGCTCAGACTTCTCAAGAACTTAAAGGCATTAAACTGGAATCTTCCATAGTGTTCAGATAATGGATATACCTCACAAGTCTCGTCTTGAATACATCTGGAAGAGAATTTATAACACATTTATAAAATTTACAGAAGTTTAGCCTTTTCAATATTGAAGAGAGATGATAAAAATTTTCCTTGAACTATCTAATTTGTGGGTCTAAAAATC